AGGTGTTAATTTTGTACCTACTAGCATTCTTTTGGACATAATGCATGTCTATAAAAAGCAATGAAGGAACTGCAACTAAGATTGAAGAGAGCATTTTTTTGGCTTTATATATTTTTATATTGCTTGATGAATTCTAAGCTAGAATCAAAGAAATATAAGAAGTTGAAATCAGCACTTGCAACTAAAGGCAATAAGTGATCCAATTTACTAGTAGTTGTGTTTTGAACTATATCTTGAATATTTTGATAAGATTTTGGCTAAAAAATTCCAAGAATATATATTATCATGTTACTAAACTTTATACAAAAATTTTGTGATATTTGAATTTTGAGTTTTTTGAAATATAAAGAAAATAGAACTAGCGTGCTTATGAATTAGGGTTTAAAGAACTTACTAGGATTTTTAAGATACTAAATAATCTATAGTAGATTTATAGTTTATTTTTTTATTTTAAAGCTTAAGGATGAAGTCTACATCATCTAGAAATTTGAAAAAAATAAAAATATTGGATCAAGAAATATAAATTTTTAAAGTTTGCAAAACAAAATTCTTTGCATGAAAAAAATATTTTGAGAAGGTTTTACTATAATTTGGACATTTTATACAAAATAAAGGGGTTTTTGGAAGCTAAGACTTTATATATATGAAAAAGATGGAGATTTGGAGCTATGACAAAATTTATGATATAAAGATGAATTTTTATAAGAGGATTATGGATTTTTTTTGAGCTTATAGAAAATCAAATTTATCAGCAATTAGTTAGTTATGATTTGGTATAGTAAAGGATGTTAAGACATTTCTAGATACTTTAGAAAGCCTTATGTATAAAGCTTTTTAAATATATAAGGATTTTATCAATAGAATATTTTTTAATACTATTATATTTATTTGGCTTTTATAATAAGAATACATCACTTATTGAAACTCGTCCAATAAATTAAGGCTAAACTCTCTACAGTTAGGTATCTGATATATTTCTAAATAGAAAATCATGCCACATAATACCAAGTTGGAGGAAGATCTTATTGTAATAAATATTACTATCCTATTATGATTTTTAATTGCTATATCTAAAGGAAAAATTTTGTAGATAACATCACTAAAAGACAAAAAATAACCATCTATGATTTTTATATTTATAGATTTAATTTTCTAAATTAAAGATATTTCTTATTTTTTTATAAAGTCTTTATCCACAAAATAAGCTAAGGCTCTTAAATCTAATAATGCAAAGACTTTATAATTTTTAGGTCTTAAACACACATCTATTGTAAAAGAAGATAAAGGATTTGAAGAGAAAATAGGACCTTTATTAGGTTTTGTACATGATTCTAGTTGCTTGATTCCTATTATAGCTGAAAATATTTGTTTTTCAATACATTGTCTTCTTTGGCAACTATGATTTTTATTTTGTAATTGCGTTGCTTCTTTAGATAATATTGAGAAATATACTTAGCTTCTCCATAATAGAAGCATAAACTCTTTTAAAAACATCAAATCTTTTTGTACTCTATGAGGGATTTAAAATATACCATATTAGATTGCGTTGATTTTACCCTTAATAAATAAGTTTATGAAAACTTAGGAGCTGCTATTATTACTTGATTTTTTTTTTCTCTATCTAAATCTTTGTTTTTGATACATTTCAAATAATTTATTGTCACATGCAATGGCTTGAGCAATAAATTATTTCAAATAATCTGCTTTGAGTCATGTCAATAGAAAATCTTTAACATTATTCTTTAATTCATATTAAAATTGATTGATAAGAGCTTAGTTATTTTAGTCCATATTGCAAGCAAGGTTTTAGAATTCAACAACATATATGGTGGTTGATTATGATCCTTGTTGTAAAGATAAGATCTTGATTTTTACTATTCTTTTTAGATAATTGTTTTCAAATATAACCATAAATACTTCTAAAAATAAATTTAAATCATAAAGAAGTCATGAATCATTTTCCATCATAGGTACGAATAAATAAAGAAACCTAGCACTCTTGTCAAACTATTAACAATATAAAGGTTGAAGAACTAAAAGATCAAGACATCTTTGTACGACTTAAAAAGACTAGATAAACACTCAAAGATGATGTATTATTAAATTAAAATGACTATTACCAAAGATAAGAAGATCAAAAAATCTTGAAACAAATCTAAGTACTTGAAAGAGATTAGCAAGAGTGAAGAAGGCTTTATTCTTGCTTCTATATATACTATCTAATTAAGACTTATGTAGCAATATTTTATAGGACCTTTAATATATATTGACTTTGCGAGACACATATCTCAACTTGCAAGGCAAGTTTTTTATATGCACATGCATATAGTTAGCTTGTTCTATAAGCTAACAATATGTGTGATATGTGGTTAACTTGGTGACTAAATTTCTAACCTATCAATCAACTACAAACATGTGTAAAGTCAAAACCACATCTATTAAGCTTCTAGGAAGTTTTTCTAAAAGATATTATAAAATTAATCTATTTTTACTTACTTCTATGTAATCATATAGGTAATTATTGAAATAAATATGTATATTTGTAATAATATCAATGAAAAAAATATATTTATTTTATACTTCTATAAATTTCAAAAAATATACAAAAAATTACCGAATAGATTGGTCAATACTAAATCATAATTGGAAATTATTTTGTGTTTATTATGTAGTCAAATAGTAGCATTAGTATATAAATTTATTTAATTTAACTAAATAAGATTTATTATTGTAATATCATTGAAAGAAGTTTTTAAACTATTATTAATACATACTAGCATAATTGCATTATATAGATTGTTATTATATATACTAAAGTAGTAGTATTTAAAAAATATTTATTAATTTAAACTTAGAATTATATTTAAATAGACAACACCATTAATATTGATATTTTTTATTTTTTTATTTTTTTATCATATAGTGTATTTTGATGAATAAGATATATATTTAGCTTGATAATTTTTTTATTAAATATATATATATATATATATATATATATATATATATATGTATATACACATATATGAATTATAATTATTTTTCAATATATAAAAATTATTAAATTTGTATAAATTAATTAAAAATATTTTAAAAATTATACAATATCTTATAAGATTAAAACTTTATTTGTATAAGATTGAAAATAATATTAAAATACTATAAAGACTTTAAAAAGAATATGGGTGATTTTAAAAATAAAATAAAATAAAATAGTCATTATAAATTGATTTAAAATACCTAAAAGATTTTAGAGATTTTAAAATATTTATAAGATTTAATAAAAATAATTAATATTAAAAAATATTATGCTTTTATAAAATTTAGATTATTTAGTTTCAATTACATCTAGAAATTTAATAATATAAAAAATTTTCTATCAAATATTTTTAATGTAATTTTTATAATGGTTGATAAATTGACAAAAATAATACATCCTAACACTTGCAATTATGTGATTATAATTAAGGAAATAATTTGACTTTTATAGACAATGACTTTATACAAAAGTTTATAATTTTTTAAAATAATAAGATTCTGATAGGAATTATAAAAAAATCTTATCTTTAAAAATAATTACAAATTAAAAATATGAAAATATTAATAGATATAAAAATAATATTTGAATGATTATAATAAATAATAATAATTACTTCAATCATAATAAATAATTGACTAAGCCATTAAAGATTTTTAAATTTAATAACAATAAATTTAGTGATGATATATTTTTTTTACTTATAACAAAAAAAATAATGTTATAACTTTTAATTAATTTGTGTTTGATATTTTTATCAATTATGATTGAATTAGTGATAAATATGTTTTTTAGGTCTGAATGTGTTTATATCCATATAATGAAACAATGTAATTATAACACAAAGAGATAAAGGAAGCTTCTAATTGGTTGGACATGAGAGCCAAAGAACATGAGAATATGGAAACAAGGGAGTATAGGTGATTAAGGGAATGGATACATGTGTCAGTTGCAATGCTTAACAACATGGGTTTCTGCTAGTATATACGAGTATCTATATATATATATATATATAGATACATACACACACACATACATATTGAATATATCTCTGAATTGATTCTGGATCAATAGTAAATATTTAATAGTAAACTCATAACTTGTATTTTTTTTAGTTAAATAAATTTTATAAATAATAGTTAAACCTTTATTATTACATTTTGGAAGATTTAAAAAAAACATTGTATTGTGTTTTATTGATTTAAAATGAAAATTTATGAAATGAATGTTGGGATACCTTATATTTGAGTTATATATATATCTATATATATCTATATGATTTTATTTTCTTAAATCCGTTTATTTATTTATAAATAATTACTTGATACAATTTTTCTCATTCAACATATACACAGTTTTTAGGTTACTATCAACCACTATCAAATGTAAATAATGTATTTGGGTTGCGATGTATATTATCATCGACCTCTATCTTTCCACACTTTTTCAAAGGCGGTGACGAAATAAAATTGCAGAAAATCATAGCTCTATCGATGTGTGTATGAGTAAAAAGCAAAAGTTTACTCGACTAGGGATGCTTTCCAAAGGAAGAGAGAAGCGCAGTGTGAACAAGGTCCAGACGGGGAAGGAAGAAAGGAAGGCATCTATTTCCACGATGCTATGTAACTTTCTAGAAACAGGGACAGCCACGAAGCTTCCCTACAAATCCAGAACGAAATATTCTTTGACCCAAACTCAAATTTTTCCAACTGCCCGTTCCACCAACACAGAACTTGCAGCCCCTGAATTTCCGCCTCTGCCCGAAAGCACGCCATCGGACCAATCGGAGTCGCCACCGGTAAATCTGGTAAACGTGTTAATATTGCGGTGATGACACATATGAAAGGCGGCAATGCACCTTGGCTGCCCGGACAGGTGGTTAACGGCCTCTGCCCAGACGCCGAGAAACTTTCTGCGCGGCTAGCGGCGGCTGCTGCTCCTCGCGCAAGCAAGGCAGACAAAGCTTGGTCCAGCGTCCATCGATCGATCGATGGAGTGTCGTTGTCGTCGCTGGCCTCGCATGCTCCCCTGGGCTTGACGTATAAGGTGGAGGAGGAGTGTTCGCGACTACGCGTCTGGATGTTGGCTGACCGATGTGGTAAATTAACTTCATTTCACGATAGGAATTGGTGTGTTGAGGCGTTGCGTGTAGCAGTCGCGTCGCCGCGGAGCTTCTCGGTGTCGTCAGGTACCGGATTCCTCAGTAGTGGCAGCAGCTTTTTCTCCTTTGGCCTTCCATCATTCATTTTCTAGCATAATCTGTGATCTGTGTGGGGTTTTGTGATCGAGCGAAAGAGAGAGAGAGAGAGAGAGAGATGGAGAGACTCGAAACAGCATTGCTGGCGTGGGATTGAGGTAGGTGTTGTTGTCGAAGGGGTGGGCACTTCAAGTTGGGTAGTCTAGGGTTGCTGTGTTGAATAGTGACCGCAGCGTTGGCGATGGTGGTAGTTGTGGTCGTGGTTTATTGGAATCTTTTCTATTTGGAACCTTTTTGGTAGGAGTGGTAATCGTTGTGGTGAGGGGGCTTAGATTATGTTGGCGCTATAGACGAGTGTTTGAAGGGAGTTCTTACCCTCAGACGGTGAGGATATATGTTTGATTTAGTCGATTTGGGGTTTTGGTTGGATTGCTTTGATTGATTACGTAGGATTTTGAATAACGGAGACATGGGTTCTAGTTAATTTTTAGCGGAGGTTGAGCTGCACATTGTCATAGGGTTGATGTTTGTGATGTGATTTTACTTGGAGAGGAAATTCTTGTAATTAAAGTAGGAGGGTTCGGTCAGTCGCAGCAGTTTTGGTGTTTGAGATGAGGCATTCTGGATAACAATGGGAAATGAAAACTGCGTGGTTGATTAGGGCTTTTTGAGGAGGTAAAATATAGAATGGCTCATAGTTTTATTCTTTGGGATTTTAGTATGTACTGTGAGAGGAGTGAAGGACTTGAAGTGCGTGGGATTCGTGTGGCAGTTTTTTTCTTTCTTCTTTCTCGTGGGTGCTGCCTTACTAGTATTGGGATCTTTTCATAGAGATATTTGAGGTCTTGTTAAAGTTTGTAAAGTGAAGTACTTGTTTCTGTTTCTGTTTCTGTAGAAGATTGAATTTTTATTATGCCAGATATTCATAGTTCTTGTTTGATGTCTTTACTAGAGAATGAGGGTTTTGATCGACTTATTCGAAATTGCCCGTTGCGGTCTGTTACGACGACCATCACAGGTTTTGTGATTCTACGTTTTGGAAATAGTACCAAACTTGCAGAGTGATTTTTGAGTAATTGTGCAGCCCAAACCTTGCGTTTTGGAAGCTTGAGGCAATTGCGGTAAATGTCAAGGTAATGGTTGCACGATGTAGTCTAGGATTGCACTGATAACGTAGGATTAAGCTTTTCAAATTAGTTTCAGTCATCTTCTCGGAAATTTGCTCTAATGTGAAGGCAAAGATCTGGCGGTTGTATTATGTGTGGGAGTTGATTAGAGGTTCTATTATAATGCTGTGGTCACATTTTGGGATCGCTTCATGACTGAGTCAAGCGGTGTTGGATGAGGAGTATCCGGCTTGTTCCTACCTCATTTTTAGACTCTCCTTCACGTTTACCCGAGGTTAAAGTACAATATTGAAGTTCTTCCTAGAACGATTAGCTTTTAATCTCCTGAAATCACGCTTCGTAAGAGTGGGGGAATCAGTAAGATTGGTGACAAGGTTGGAGTCGTCAATTGTGATGCATGACGAGAGTGACGGTAGGGTTTTAATTCTGGCAGGCCTTTACATCTGATCGTTTCTACGAAGCCGTTTCAGTCTGCTAGTGTTATTCCTTGAGCAGTTTGCTATGTGACTGTTGTAACCATGTGTGGTTATTGTTCCTCTTAGAACTCGATCTTTATGGGTGGTTGATGTGTTTTGTGATGTTTATGATGCCGCCTCTCTTGGAGTGGATTCTGATCTGGCGCTTTCTTGTCGGTCTTCTCCATGCTCTTATTGATATGATATAATTTGAGATCACGACCGCAGTCTTTATTTAGTCAACTGAAAACTTCAAGATTGGTAGAGGAACTTTGTTAGTTGTATTTAAGCCTTATTGTTTTATGGTTGCACAAATCTAAGCTGAGAGTGCCTAGTCGAATCAGATGTCTAACTCAGTGTCTTATTCGTGCAGGTTTGACTCAAGTCCCTTTTGAACGACATTCCTTAGCTGGGAACTTGTAGAAGCTTGGCAGGCGTGGCTGACTGAGTACATATTGTCATTGCGATACGCAAATTTCTTGCTCTTGTGTCGTAGAATTTAATTGAATTAATAAAAAGGAGGTACATGAGTGTTTGGAATGAAGTAAATACTATCAGATCCCATTCCAACCTCAGGTTATTGATAAACCGTCAAGGACATTAACGGGTACTGCTACAAAGATCTACTTGAGGAGGATTATACGTGGAGAATTTTTCATGTTACATCGGCAGTGATTAAATTTTTTCCGGTGCCGAGTTGCTGGATATTTTGCGGCAGTCCTTGCTCCGACGAACTGAAACTCCTTCCGTGATCACCAGGAATTGTAACATAGGAATCTTGGGATTGACGAGTTCCTTTCAAACAATGGCGGAGGATTGTTTTCCTGCATGGTCAAAGTCTGTGGAACAGTGCCTAAATCATTTTGAAGTCGATGTTAAAAGTGGTCTCAGCCAAAGCAGCATTGAAAACAGGCGTAAGCAGTATGGGTGGAATGAACTGGAAAAAGAACCTGGGAAGCCAATGTGGAAGTTGGTGTTGGAGCAGTTTGATGATATGCTTGTCAAGATCTTATTGGTTGCAGCGTTAATAAGTTTCATTCTTGCCTACACCGATGGTTACTCTGCTGACGAGAGCGGAATTGGCGCCTATGTGGAGCCATTGGTCATTCTTTTCATACTTATATTAAACGCCGTAGTTGGAGTATGGCAAGAAAGCAATGCTGAGAGAGCGTTAGAGGCACTTGAGGAGATGCAATCAGAACACGCTAAAGTTATCAGAGATGGGGAATTTATATCTAACTTGCCGGCCAGAGAACTCGTTCCAGGAGATATTGTAGAGCTTCGTGTTGGTGATAAGGTCCCCGCAGACATGCGCATAGTGAAACTGAAGACCTCCACAGTGAGGGTTGAGCAGAGTTCGCTCACAGGAGAAAGTATGTCTGTGGTGAAAACCACCCATTCAGTGAAGGAAAATATTGAATTGCAAGGCAAGGAGTGTATGGTATTTGCGGGTACCACTATTGTGAACGGCTCCTTCCTCTCTATGGTAATGACCACCGGCATGAAAACGGAGATTGGCAAAATTCAATCTCAAATTCAGGAGGCTTCAAAGGAGGAGGCGGATACACCTCTGAAAAAGAAATTGGATGAGTTTGGAGAGCTTTTGACTAAAGTGATTGGTGTGATATGTCTTCTTGTCTGGGTCATTAACTACAAATATTTTTTGTCTTGGGAGATGAAGGACGGTTGGCCCAGAAACTTTCAATTCTCATTTGAAAAGTGTACATATTATTTCAAGATTGCTGTAGCTTTAGCTGTTGCAGCTATCCCAGAAGGACTCCCTGCCGTTATTACCACTTGTTTGGCTTTAGGTACAAGGAAGATGGCAGCCAAGAATGCTATTGTGCGGAAGCTCCCCAGTGTCGAGACTCTAGGATGTACCACTGTTATTTGCTCTGACAAGACAGGCACACTGACAACAAATCAAATGTCTGTAACTGAGCTCATTCTTAATGGTCCAGCAGCTGGAGTCACCCGCGATTTCCATGTGGAGGGCACAACATACAGTTTCTTGGATGGCAAGATCGAAGGTCTTAGTGTTGGCCAGTTGGATCCGAACATGCTGTCCTTTGCTGAAATTGCTTCACTTTGTAATGATGCTGGAATTGAATATCAGGGCAATGGTTTCAAAGCTATTGGCATGCCAACTGAAGCAGCTCTGAAGGTGAGCTTTTTCCATTCCGTTCTTTACCTTTATGGTATTTGCTCGGAACGGGGTCCTAAATCTAAATGGCATTTTGTGGTGCTTATTGATCACTTGTTTGCTATGTGTATGCGTTTCTCTTGGGATCTAAGGTTGCTTATATAGCTGTGTCACCCAGCTGCAATGCAAATATTTTGATGTCTGTGAACTTTTTGTTGTTTTCAAGACTAGAATCTATTTGCAATTTCATATTTGCTCATGGTGTGGACTCCGCCAGGTTGTGGTGGAGAAGATGGGTGTACCAGATTTTGCTGCTCAGTCAGTCATTAACAACCAGCGTTCTAGAGAAGCGATCGCTCTGAATGAAGAATTACCTCTTGGTAAATATTTTCTTTTCTTGCTCAAGTTACGAGTGACTAATATTACTCACTTTTTATTTTACTCTCAAGTGCTCAAGACTTGCAGCGTCTTTTCGAGAGCACCACACGAATCTTAATTGTGCGTGCATTACTTATAGTCACAATTTTCCTGATTTAAACACATTTTTGTATTGTCAGCCTGCAATAATTGGTGGAGCAGTAAGGAGCCTCGAGTGGGTATTCTCGAATTTGATCGTACTCGCAAGTCAATGAGTTGTATAGTTAGAAGGGATGGAGTCAACAGGTTGCTTGTGAAGGTATGTAATGGCAACTGGAGGGTCGCAAATATCTTACTCTGGGTCATCATTCATGAATTATTTAAGTAAACCTGGTCTTTCCTGTTTACTTGTCTTGTTGTTGGGTATGCTTTCGTTCGCAACTTTCAGACACAAAATGCTTATTCATATTATGAGTAATTGTGAAATCTGAACTTGATATACACACACAGTTGATCTTAGGTGTCTAGCAATATTAGACTGGTATATAGAGTTACTGCTTTAAACTGAGTTGAATCAAGCTGTCGCCAGCACTAAGATGTATCTAAACTGTACTACACTGTTTAAACATATTTTTTGCCTGATTATATCCAGACTACATCTCATTCCAAATACAATTATTTTTGTTTGTCATTTCCATACAAATTCAACAGTTTTATTTAACCGAATCTGCTCTCTAATTTATAAGAAAAAGATTTGACTTCATCTAGGTTTATGCACTAACGATTGTTGGTTAATACCAGGGAGCCGTGGAGAATATTTTGGAGCGCTGCACGCGTGTGCAACTTCTGGACGGTTCAGTGGCGAATATGACAGAAGGAGCCCGTGATGCTCTGCTTGGAAAACTTAATGGATTGAGTGCGAGGGCACTTCGCTGCTTAGGGCTAGCTTACAAGGATGATTTGCAAGAGCTTAGTGATTACGATGGAGAAAATCACCCCGGTCATGGAAGACTTCTGGACACCGAAAATTACGAAAAAATTGAAAGCAATCTTATTTTCGTCGGCATGGTTGGAATAAGAGTAATTACCGTACTCCGGCTCTTCATATTTTGATAGCTGCAATGGATACACACACACACACACCCATATATATACGTACACATTTATCTCTCAAAATAAATAAATGCGTGTGTGTATGTGTGTTCATTGCCCTCTTTCAATGGACTTCTGAAATTCTCTCTCTCGCTCGCTCGCTCGCTCGTTTCTCTCTCTCTCTCTCTCTCTCTCTCTCTCTCTCTCTCTCTCTCTCTCTCTCTCTCTCTCTCTCTATATATATATATATATATGCAAGTATGTTTTTCAATCTTGTTTTCGAAGGGTTAACAGAGGTTGAGAAATTTCTGCAGGATCCTCCCCGTCAAGAAGTACGTGGGGCAATTGAAGATTGTTGTGAGGCTGGTGTAAGAGTAATGGTGATAACCGGAGACAACAAGAACACTGCTGAAGCAATTTGTCGTGAGATTGGTATTTTCAATGATAATGAGGATATTCGAGATAAGAGTTTTACAGGCCATGAGTTCATGGAATTTTCTGTTGAGCGCCGGAAGCAAATTCTCTCTGGTACTGGAGGTCGTGTCTTCTCACGTGCGGAGCCTAAACATAAACAAGACATCGTACGCATTCTGAAGGATGCTGGGGAGGTTGTGGCCATGACTGGTGATGGCATAAACGATGCTCCTGCTTTGAAGCTTGCGGACATTGGCGTAGCAATGGGTATTGCTGGAACTGAGGTACATCAATAAATACCTGCGGTGGTGCTTGCATTTTTCACTTTTATGAGTCTTGTTGTTCTCTCAAAGTACAAGCTTCCAAAGTTTCTCTAAGCTTTGAAGCGGAGGCTTCGTGGTAGAATATATATTGCTTAATTTCAGTCACTATCCCCCGAATGAACATAATGGTTGGGCTGTGACTTGTAGGTGGCCAAGGAGGCAGCCGACATGGTGCTTGCAGATGACAATTTTAGCACTATTGTGGCAGCCGTTGGAGAAGGTCGTTCTATATACAACAACATGAAGGCCTTCATTAGGTGCGTGATTTTATACTAAGGATGATTTTTTGAGTGGAGTATTTTGGAAATTGAGTACCAGAAGTTTGACTGAAGTTGTGGATCTACAGATACATGATATCATCCAACATTGGAGAGGTGGCATCAATCTTTATGACAGCAGCTTTGGGTATGCCAGAAGGGTTGGTACCAGTGCAGCTCCTTTGGGTGAATTTGGTGACTGATGGTCCTCCAGCCACTGCTCTAGGTTTCAACCCTCCTGATTTGGACATTATGCAGAAACCTCCTCGGAAAAGCAATGATGTTTTAATCAATGGCTGGGTTTTCTTTCGCTACTTGGTACTTTCCTGTCCCTGTAATTGTTTTTGCTGAATGTGATCATGTATGAAATATACGTGGCTGTTCTTTTCTTGTGCATTGCTATATATATATATATATATATATATATCCAATTTTCTTTAGATAATACTGTCGTCGAGATGTAAACATTTTCTTTGTATTCAGTTAGTGGAGATACAAATACTAAAAAAGTGCCTTCCTTGTGGTGTATAGATATATAAGAATGGTGAATATGGCATAGCACTTTTTATTTGATCTGATATTGTGCTGATAAGCTCATTATTGATCTGCTGTTTTTGAATATTGCAGGTAATTGGCTTGTATGTTGGGATAGCCACTGTCGGTGCATTTGCATTGTGGTACACGCATGCATCCTTTCTTGGGATTAACCTGGCAGCTGACGGTCACACGCTGGTAAGCTTTTCACAATTGACACACTGGGGCGAGTGCTCAACTTGGAAAGACTTCAAGGTGACACCGTTCACTGCTGGGAATCAGACACTCTACTTTGATGACAACCCTTGTGATTATTTCACTACCGGGAAAGTGAAAGCAACTACTCTCTCCTTGTCCGTTCTTGTGGCGATTGAAATGTTCAATTCTTTGAACGCCCTCTCAGAAGATGGGAGCTTAGTGTCTATGCCGCCATGGGTCAACCCGTGGCTGCTTTTAGCCATGGCCGTGTCCTTCTCTCTCCACTTCCTGATTCTTTACATTCCTTTTCTGGCTACAATATTTGGCATTGTGCCGCTTAGCCTGAATGAGTGGCTCCTAGTTCTTGTTGTTTCCCTTCCTGTGATTTTGATAGATGAGGGCTTAAAGTTTATCGGCAGAAGAATGAACCAGCGTGAGCGACGAGCTAGGAAGTTAAAATTGGCTTAAATGATAGGTGATAGGGATGATTGTCCAAGGGAATTCCAGAACATGGGCCTTGTGTGGAGCCCAGGTTTGGTTTCTATGATGGATGCCAATTATATCTTTCCTCCCCTCAACTTTTTTTTACTTAGCAGGGGCGCCCTTTCAGCTCATACGGACGACCAAGCTTCTGATTTAATTACCACCTCTTACGTAGCAATAGCATAGAGTAGTTGTATACAGGTAAGTGGAAGTTTAGGCGCGTCGACTAGGGTTTTTTTGCGCTGAGTGCACATTGAACTTGTCCATTGTTAAGGTCCACTCATGGGTATTTTCAAGAAACCGAGTTAGATTATTTCAAATGTGAATATTCTTCTGCTGGCAGAGATGTTAGTAGAGAACAACTTTGGGAAAATCATTAATTTCATCTGGAACTGATTCATTTTTTCCACTGGAATGTCTTCTTTTCCTACTCCACGGAAATGGTATTTGAAACAACATCTTCTTTTGCTTTTATTAGCCAGTCTATCACCTGGCTGTTTGAAAATTAGTAGCGTCTTGTCATGCCTGTGTTTCGTAATTACATGCTGTTTTCTTGTATCATCTCGTGGTCACCAGCAAATAGGACAGTATTTTGTGTCTAACAAAGCATGTCTGACAAAGACTGTAGAGTCTTAATTCTAGTGATTACCTCAAGGTGAAGCTGATTTTCTATGGGTCTAATATATGAATACCATTAGTATGCCATATGTTTTACTTAGGAGGGAGGAGAGATGGAAGTTTACTTTGAGGAATTGGAAAGAATGAACATGAAATATTTTTAGGATAATAAAATTAGAAAGACATGATGAAAATTATTCATTAATGAATAGTTGGGTTGTATTATATTAGTGGATAGAAAAAATAGGGAGTGATTTGGAGATTTTTTAAAATATAATTGTAGACATCAAATTGTAAATGAGATTATTTATTTTAAAGCTTACATGTGTTACTATAAAAGAAAATTGTATGACAAATAAATATTGTAGTAGGCTTAGTTTGGAAGACTTTTCTAACATCTTAGAGGAGAGAGAGAATTCACACGAGTAATAATTTCTTCATATCTATGTATTAAGTTATATTCTATAATTAATGTTCATATGCTTATCAACTTTTAGAAGTTACAAAGTACTAAAATTAAAAATAGATAGGGAGTGTTGGTGAAAGTGGATAATTTATCCTAAACCTGAAAACAACTTAGATTAAAAATATTTTTTGGGACATAATATTTAAGATTAATTCATAATTGTAAAATACTTTTTGTAATGAAAATATTTACAAAATATCAGATAGAATCATAAACTTTAAAATTTTACAACTTTAATTATAAGTAAAAAAATTTATATTATATGTTAAATTTATAAAAATCATCCATAAAAATTCAATTTAGCCTTTTTTAGTTAAAGATGATAAATTCTAATCTAAGCTTTTCAAAAAAAACTTTAAACTAGTTATAATATATCAAAAAATCAACCAAAAATTTAATCCAAATATATTAAATAAATTTAAGGTCATTTGAAAAGATAGTTCCATAATAATTAAATCCATGTAAAAAGACCAAAATATAGAACTATTGTTAAGTTTTATTTACAAACAAAGACATGTGACATACACTCATGGTTTTTATGAAGCATATTTGTATTCTATTTCTACTATGTTTGAGCAACATAAATAAAAATTCATATCATATAATAAGCTATATTGCTTACAATATATTGAATAATATTTGACATGAGTTGTGGATCTTTTTATTATTTCAAAAAATCAAATTTTTTCATTGGATATAATTAATTTCTTTTATTATATATATATATATATATATATATGAACATCCATTTTTTTTACAAATAATATATGAAATAAATTTTGAATGAAATGATATAAATAATAAATTAAAAATAATCTTAATTAATAAAAATTTCAAATTTAATCATATATTTGAGTTACACTAAAGGAGATTGTATATAGAATTTTTATAGTAATTTTGACCTTCTGATAAAGTTCTAGTGCTTGTGATTAGATCTAATATTGGTGGTGCTAATACCAAATTGAAAAAATAATTCTAAACCACAACTTCTAGTCTTCATAGATTCTTTTATATAAGAAATATCTAAAAAATTTAAATTAAGTTTTCTATTGTTTTAAATTTTTTAAATTATTCTTCATTCTTTGAGTTGAAATTTTTTCTATTTTTGAAGAAAATTTAAAGTATTTTAAATCTTTTTGACAAATTTTAGAAGCCAGTCAAGTATTTCTAATTCAATTTTATTATATCAAAGTTTTAAGCGATTAAATCTATTATATCACATACATTAATATTTATATCTATGTTTATCTTAGCTTTTTTATTTTTCAAGCTTATTATTATTATTATTATTATTATTATTATTATTATTATTATTATTATATAATTATTTAGATCATATTTTTCTACTTTATTTCTTGACTAAATCTTTTTATGGTTTTTTAGCCCGATATTCTATTAGAATTTAGTATGTACCAATTTAATAATAATTTAATTCTAAAGATTATTATATTTAGAAAATAATAGAGTTTAAATACGAAAAGTTGTAGTTCTAATCTAATTTTTAAAATTCTACAATCTATAGGTATATCTATAAGTTTTAAAGATCTCAAATACTTTTAACTTTCAAAAATTTAAATAATCTTTGCTAATATATACAAGGCTTTTAGAATTCTAAAAACATTATTAAAATCTTTGTATAAGTTAAAAAAATGACTAGAAAACATAATATACTTATATTTTGTAACTAAAAAATTAAAAAAAAATCAAATGTGTTCATTAAAAAAATATATTTTTATTATAATTAACTATCAAAATCATCATATTCTTATGTTACATATAATAATTATTTAGAAAGAAAAAAAAATTAAGAATCAATATTTATATGCTATATAGATTAGATTATATAATATATTTAATAGTGATCTTTGTAGAATAACTATTTTTATCTATAAGATCTCTTCAAAGAAGTTATGTCAAAGAAAAAAAAGTTAAATAGGATCGTATGTAATAATATTTTTAGAGAAGTATATGCAATATATTTTGATTTAAATATCTTTACATTAGTCATACTTTTAATAAAATAAAGACAATCAAAGGTTATATAGAATTTTAAGAATTTTCAAATTAATGAACTTATTTGTGTAAACAAATTATTTTTTTTATTCCTTTATTATCATCAAGTACAATATTAGAGGAGAACTATAAATTTAAATAAATTTCTATATTTTAAATATATATTAAAAAATTAAATTTGCAAGAGAGATAAAATAAAAATCTAAAGCAATTAATAAGAAAGAAAATAATAAAGATTTAGAAGAGATTTTATAAAAGATCAAAGATATTATTGAATTAAAATTTTATATATTATTTAATTTTTATTAAAATTAAAAAATATTAATAGTTACAACAACAAATAATAACTTTAATTTTATTATATATATATATATATATATATATATCATATGATTGTATTACTTAAATAAATATAACTAAAAAATAAGACAAATATATATTAAATAATAACATGTTAGGTAGACAATATCTTTTGTAAAAATCATAAAAAGATCTTCTTAGTCACAAATTAGATTCTTAGATTCTTCTAAGTATGATACATGGTCACTGAAACTTATTACATAGTCCTTTTAATTTTAATAAGCTGCTTTATCAAATAACCAAGAACTTTGGCACTTACACCATAAACCTTATTGTTCCTAGAAAGATTCTAGAAGACCTTTTTGGTTGTTAGTATATATCAAAACTATACTTAAATTATTAATTATATTATTTGTCTCTTTCTTATGACCATACTTAAATCATAGTTTAAGTCTCTTTAGTTTCTTTAAATATGGCAATAGCTATTCTAATTCTTTTCCATCTTGTATCTATATTTCTCTTTGTTTTTTATTTTGTTTTTTTTTGTTTTTTTTTTCTTCGTTTAGATACATATATGAATTGATTTTTTTTACTTCTATCTAGGTTAATTTTTTTAATTATATATATATATATATATATATATATATATATATCATAAAATAGAAAATTATATTTTTATTTAGTAATTTTTTTTTTAATTATATAATTTGTTGACCGGTCAGGCTCTATGATTTGGTCCTTGTTTTAAACAAAACTTAAGGTAAGAATATAAAAGTTAATTGATTTGAAATGTTTTGGTTTATAAGAAATTACATGATTTTTTTGTTTTTTTTGTTTTTGTTTTTGTTTTGTTTTGTTTTGTTTTTTTTTTAATCCAATCCACTAGTTAATAGAAAAAGAAAATATTTTATATTGACTTAAGAATTTGTAAAATTAGGCTACTTTATAATAAGATTTACTTATGGGTTTGTTGCTCTCATATTAAGTCCAAAAAAACTATATGATTTTAGTTATTATTATCAAATGATGTTTAATTATATATAAAAGAGTTTTACTAAAAATTTAAAAATTGAAACTAAAATTTATTCTACAAAAAAAAATAAGAGTCAAATAAAAAATTATTGAATGAAAAAAAAATAAAAATAAATATATATATATATATATATATATATATATATATATATAATACCTTCATCATATATAAAAATTTTGCTTAAATTTGAATAAGACTTCTATAAGTAAACTTTGCGAAAACAATTGGTAAGGTTTCTTAGACTTTTATAAAAATTATAATAATTTTTTTTAATAATATATTATAAAATTATAGTATACTATAAAATATTAATGGCTAAAAAATAGAGTGTTGTATAAGACCATAACTTCATATTTAAGTGGAGTGACATATAGTCCAAACCATGTTCTCATGAGAGATAATGTTTATTTAGATCCTATGACATAAAAGTGTGGCTATCAATTCATAGAGAAGAAACTTAATTCACATATTAATATTCACTATGCCTTATACTCTCTCTCCAACAATAGAAGATTATATTACATAAATTTTAGAAGTCCAATAAAGTTTGTAAACTTTGGAATTGGACCACTTCAATTTTATATAAATTGAAAACTACTCTTTATACATATGGACCAAAAAGAACTTCTTTTTTAATTGAAATAAGCTATTTTTGCACAAAAATTATTGATCAAATTTAAATGACGTCCATAGAATGACATTCATATAAAAAACTTGATTTAAGAAGGAATTATTGAATATGGAAAATTAAGTTGGTTGGTCATAAAGAAGAAATTGAAAAAATATCCTAAAAACAAGACAACTCTTTTCAAGTATGAAATAAATCATAAATATCAATACAAATACTTCATACTAAATCATTTGAGGTAATTCAATAAAACTATAAAATACCACAATATAACATAATAATTTATAAAAATATAATCATTTAGATAGGAATAGTAATAACTTCACTTAATACTCTTATTGTCATAGATATAAATAC